TCAGTAGCCAATAGTGAAAGTGCAACTAGAATCATTGCAATAAGAGAGGATCTTACTCAATATGTGAATAAATACTAGTAATAACCGAAACAGGGTAGAAGTATTTATAAGAAAAGTGTCCCAAGAAGAGTTGTCTTGTGGCCTCGAGATGACCCTAATGAAGTTAACTGGTGGTGCTTACCAGCGCACTTTCTCGCATAATTTCTAAATTCGCAATTTTCGAAAGTTCTACGACAATAAGACACATCCCATTCTTTTAAGCGTCCTTTCTATTCGTAAGAAGAAGAAATTTGGAGTGATTTTTCAGAATTTTTTTAAATTGCATCAATTTCAAGTCTAAATTATGCGAAAACTACTATTATGTTAAAAAAAACTGTACATGACCTTTCCAATGAGCTGACTTTTTTAAATCATGGCAAAAACATTCTATTTTCTGGTTTTTGATAGTTAACTATTTGGAATTTTCGAAAATGCACTGAAGTGGGATTAGCACCATATTTTTTTTACAGTCCCTTAATACATGCTAGGAAAAAATTTAAAGAAACCAATTGGTGCACTTTCAGAGAAAAACAGGAAGTTTAAAACTAAAAGTTAGCTATATTTCGCACACAATTATGTCAAATCTCATATTTTCGAAAAATCGTTCATAATCATATTTCAAGATCTACGTTTAAGGGACAGATTTCATTAAGGAAACAAGTCTACCTTTAATATTATAGTTATAGGAAGATTTAAAAAGAATAAAAAAATTAAAAAATTGAAAACGGTGTGTCAATCATGCAAATCGGATGAAGAGGAGCGTCGTAAAGTGAAATTTTGGACAACACCTCGCGTTTGATTCTATCTGTCCACCACTGTTGTGAAACCACCGTGTAGGTTGTTGTCTCGCGGTACCTATATGCGCCGGACAGTCGTTCTGTTCACCGTCACCCGCCGCAAAGAGGGCAAATTTCGCAATTCTGGTATTAGGGGGTTTCAGAAGAGCAACGAAATTTATTTTCGGGTACTACTGGGCCACAAAAAAGCAACAAATTCCCATGTAATTTTTTTTTTCTTGGTAATTTCTTCGTATTCTGGTACTTGTAGTACTAACTTGATGTCCAGTTTGCCAATAGTTTATGGCAGGGTCAAATGAAGAGTGACAATATTTTTTGCGGACCTCATGAGGGGGATGATCTGATCATTCTTTAGCCGCCAAGTCACCTCTGTTCACAGAACTTGTTTGAAGGATGACTAGGTAAAAATCGGAATTATTTGGAAACGCAGCTTTTCAAGATAAATTCAGTTCTATACTTGGGTTATGGAGGATACGAGAACGTCTGTCCCAATTATAACACCAGTAGTGTGATTTGTGAAATGAAATAAACTAGTGATGCTACAGAATGTCAGACTTTCTCGAACTAGTTCGTTTCCTTATTTCTTTGCTCTGGTCTATATTTTCGGTTTCACTACATCCTCTTCCCACCTAAAGATAATTTTTTCAAATTTATTTCAATTTTTCGAATTCCTAATGATAGAACCGAAACATGACTTTCAGAATACTATAGAAATATAAAATATCATCATACATGTACATTTTCGTTGAAAAATTTAAGAAACTACCGTTTGAGTATACCTGAAAATGCACAACTGCAAGCTCAATTTCTCAGAATACTTTTCACTATTCAAGGAACTTGATGAGTAGCGACCGGATTTTTTATGTAATTACATATTTTTTGTCTTTCTACTTACAGATCTAGAAATTTTAATTTTGGCGAATCATCGCCATCCTAACACAATATCATTTTTTGTCACATTGTTACATATTTAATACTATATAACATATTTTACATCTTTTCCTATTTTCACAAAATATTTTTTATTCTATCAATTTCATGACTCATTTTTATGAAAAGAAGTATTAAAAAACCACTATTTCCTACATCGTTACTGCATGCTGTCAACTCAAGGTTCGCTACATAAAGACGCGGTAGGATGGTCTCACAGTCCTACTCGTCTGCATCAGTTATCTCAGTGGCGGGAGGGGACGTCAGTGACTGAAATGAGTTTCACCTTCAGGTGTGAAAATAATCACGTCTCGTCTCGTACTACCTTAATTTCCGAGAAACTTTGCCGATTGTCGATATGTAACTCTTCGCTGAGAATGTTACATGCTGCAGTGATAAATTGCTGGTTGTAAATATCGCCAGCTTGTAGGACGGTTTCTATTGCGTCTAGTCTGGCTGCTAAACGACCATACTGAATAGCAGTAGATGAATGTTTAACAACTGAAGAGAAAGTTGTATGGTACAAAGCATGCTTCAATTGGTACTGTTTAAAATTTAAAACGTTTGTATTACTTTTAAAATTTATATCGTATTTTTTCATAAATGTAGTTTTGTATTATGTAAATGTTTGTTTTATAATTGTGTTTTTTAATATTACATATTTTATCCTATTTTATATATTCATTACATATTCTTAGTGCTTTCATTTCATATTTATATACATATTTTGACTTTCATACTACATATTTTTTCGGTTTCTATTTATGAGACATTAATTTAACAAACGCAATAATGTATACAAGTCGCTGGTAATGTAAATATTAAACACGTGAGAAAAAAGTCCAAAAAAAAGTGTAAGTTTTGAAAAATTAAAAAGGAATAAAACAAAATGACATGTAATCTTACACGGAACAATTAGAAACATCCGTTTGTTTTCAAATCAAAAGTTTGAAAAAAAAATTGGAGCCTTTTTGATTCTGTTTTTTAGTATTTTTTGTGATGCACATATTTCATGCAATATTATAAAAAACCACTAAAATTTTCAAAGAAATGTGCATGACGTCAATGAAAGAACCAATTAGGGAAAATAAACTTCATTTGAGGAAAAATCTTTATCTTCAATATCGTAGTTGTGAGGAGACGCCGAGAAAAATTCAAACTTTCATAACCTTCAAAAAATGAAAGTTAACAATAAACATTGGACCGATGCCACCTTGAGAACATATTTCAATCTATCCTTACAACAAATCCAAAGAAAAAAACTGGAGCCATTTTCAGAAAATATAAAGATGTCCTTGGGCCATCATTTAAAGTATCCCCCAATTTTAAACAATATTTTTCAAACTCGTACATCTTTGAGATTGGCGAGATCGACCAGTGAATATTCACTTTCGATAAAATTTTAGGAATACTTGTAGTTTTAACCCTAGTGTTGCTCACATATGGGCAGACAGAGGGTCAGACGTTTTGGGGGGGGGGGGGAACCAAACACTATTTTGGTTTCTCGCATCATCATATAATTTTCTCTATACTAACTATATTACTCGGTATATAGGTACATATACGAGAATGTAAAACCAATGTTGTGATGCGGAAAATAGCAAAAGCATTATCTCACAAATCTCAGTCAGGCCACAAGAGAACCGCCTGTTTGCTTGCCTCGCTCCCAGTCTGCCTCTCTTTATCTCTTACGGAATGCTTCCTTCCCCTCCAGAGCCGGCTCCCCCACGCGTGGTGGCAGCGGTGGCGGCATGGAGGAGGGGGGCATTGTATTTCGCCAAATTTCACTTTACGACATGCCTATTCAGTCAATTTGGACGGTTGATATTACGTTGGATTCAGAAAGCACATCACCATCGCACTATTAGCCCACAATTTTAAATTTCTTCCCAAAACTATTCCAAAACTCATTTTTCAAAGAGCCTTTGTAGCGTAAATTTTATATTAAATACAAATCCTATGTCGTTCACTTATTGCAAATCAGATCACTTGTTCAGACATTATTAGTAAAGTCATTTTGGCTTATTTTGGTACTGCTACTTAGGGGCGACAAATTGAACTAGTGTCGGGACATTTAGCCTTAAGGCAGCCCTGAGAATATGTACGTAAATGTCGAACCCGAAATTGAGAATATTGTTGAGTGTAAATATTAAAAACAGAGTTAGCCAAAAATAAAGATAAATATTAATTAATTGGTATAATATTATCATAATCATAATAATTATTATTAATTTATACAGAGAAAAGAAATAATATTTCATCAGAATGAAGGGTCCTTAACTATAAAAACCTCTTTTTATATAGTTTTTTGGTAAAATATCATAAAGATATTCTGACCCATTTCTACTCAGAAGCAATCTCTCATAATTTGTCAGTAGAGTTTACCGTCCCATTGCATATTGGCATAATAATAGCTGTTATTTAATTTCAATCGCCCACCAAGCGTTCAATTTACAATTTTCTTCTTTGTTATGAAATTATAGTTGTCAAGTATCAAAGAGTGTGTTAACTGTAAAATTTAAACCAATTTATTTCTAAGAAGATATTTACAAAAGAATTTAACATTTTTCCCATAAGTTAAGTTGTATTTTTTCCGACTACCTAAGGAAATGATGTTGGTTTAATAAATTCGAATAGTTGAAAACAACTTTTTAGGTGTCACATGTATTTCCATATTATTGACAACTGATAAAAGGGGAAGTTTTCCTCCAAGTACGTGTATTTTCAAAAAATTGTTCATGACATTTAAAGTACTAGTTTTCAGTAATTTAGAGAAAAATTGTTAGGTATTTTTGGAAAACTGCCACAAGAAATTCTCAAAAACACCTCCCTTATTTCTTTAAAACATTTATTAAGATCGAGCATAACACACTGGCTCCTACGACAAAAGTGCCATTGTCATTGAAACTTTTAAGATTTCAAAAATTAATTTTATTTCATTTGTTAAGTTTTGTTCAGTGTTTTGTCAGAAAATGGTTGAAGAGTGGGATTCAGCAAAAAGATTAGAGAAGCCTTGAATATGTATTTGGAACAACCAGAGGTGCACAAGATACAGTGCCACATTGCTTCATTATTTATTTTTCCCAATAATCTTTTCCTCTATTTACGTCAGGACCAAAACTTTGAGTGAGAAATAAACCCAATTGTTTTCAACCTATCCATACAATCTGAAGTGAAAGTTTCGAAGTTATCTGATAAACGATTTAAATTCCCATAGAGTAAATAGGTACATACATTCACTTCTACATCAAACCGGCCAGGACGAAGAAGGGCTTTGTCCAAATCATCTCTTCTGTTTGTTGCTCCCAAGACAATTACTCCTTCATTTTGATGAAATCTGCAGCAAACAAATACCATAGTTACTGTTTCACACTGTCACTGATATTTCCAAAATATGTTTGAATATGATTAAACTACTTATATTTGTTATCTACTTTCATTAAATACTATTCCATACTTTAAAGAAAAGACGAAATCAACATCAAAAATTTATTAATGCTTTGAAATGTGAATTAAATTTTTCTTCTATTTACAGATGTTTTCATGAAGGTTGTTTACATAATTGATTTATTAAGCCTTATTAAAAGAAGTTAAATTATCTGGAAATTTAAATTTACAAAATCTTCCGAAACAAAAAAGTAAGGAAAATTTAAAAGAACTCATCATTGCTTTTTGAACATACAACAAGTTTCAATGAATGAATACACATGTAATATTTAACACATAAAGATGGCTCCACTCATTCAGCGTGTAGTGAGCAACTGCTCTACCAATCCCAATTCTTCAAGATACTTGACAAATTTCTGCTTCATTTAATATGCTCAAATGTTCAACATGCTGTAGATAGAGAAAGTACAGAACATTTGGTGCTTGCTAAATAGCATGCAATCCATTCCCACTACTATTCATATTAATGGAGCCAACTTCAGGAAATGCATCAAAATATGCAAATCAAATTATTTCAAATTACCTTATTTCCAAGTAAAATTATTAAAATTGATAAATGTAAATACTCTGCTTTTTTAAACTTATTTTTTCTTAACATTTTTACCCTTACATTCAATTATTCAAATAGTATAGTAATATTTATTTCTTAAAGCCAAAATAGCCTACTATTTAAATATTTTGAACTTTTTAGAATGAAGTTCCCATTTCCATGCCCCTGATGTGTTACTTATACATTCCCTAATAGAATTCAAAATCTAACAAGAAATGCAGATCACAAGTTTTATAAATGATACTTCACATTACTGATACTTATAAATGATGCTTATGGGCACTTCAACTGGTATGATTCACCTCACAGGAGGAAAACATGTAAAAAGTGGCAATAAGAAGAGTGAAAATTACTTCCTCGTGCCTTTTAGCATGGGATGAAGAACACAAGGATTTTCAGAATCCTTTATCACGCTTAATTTAAAAGTGGTAATGAGCGAATCTCTTTGCCATTTACTGGACATGAAGCATTTCAGGAAGGCCTTCAAATGTGCTGATGGGACAGAGGGAATGTCTATATCAGGCTTCCAAGTCAACGATTTTGCAGCCTGGTCAACTAACTCATTTCCTGTGATTCCCACATGGCCCAGGACCCAACAAAGTACTAGACAGTAGTGGCAAGACAGCATGACGAATGGCAAGGCAGTATGATGAATCCAGTGTTGTTATCATGTGGTCTGAGGGAGAAAGGATTACAAGTAACTGAAGTGCACTACAGGAATCGCTGCATACAACTACTTGTCATGATGAACCTGACTTGATGTACCTCAGGTCCTGGAGCACAGAAAACATCTCAGCAGAAAATATATTACAAAATGGGTAAATTCAAAATAGCAAGTAGCCATTCTACAACAGAACACGCAAGACACAGAATCACTGATAGCAGAGCCAAGAGTGCAAATGAAAGTGTGGTCAAGATAGGCTGCTCTCAACTCATGGAAGCATTTCAGGAATACTAAGGCAGAAGTAGGGTGTTAGGGGAAATTGCAAAGTTTTTGGTTTACAGTAGGGTAAAAGAGTTTCCAGAGAGGAAAAGGGTTGCAAAAGGATTTCACATGGGAAGGGAGGAAAACCTTACTTACTTCTGCAGTATCTGAGAAAGGATATTGAATGTTTAGGCAGTGATGGGCTACAGAGCAAACAAAGACTGGTAGTTAGAGTAGGAGATAACCTGATGGGTTGAATGATCTCATTGGCCTGAAAGTAGTTGAAGTTGAATCCTAGAAACCTAACGTTGTCAACAAAGGGAGGTTCATGCCCCCCTAGGAATAACTCTGAGTTGTTATGGAGGTGATAATTCTACAAAAGTGCATGCAGATTGCGTGTGTGTGTGTGTATGTTTTTTCCCCGTGGAAAAATTGAAACTTGTAGCTGTGCTCCATTGGTGTTATGGACAACTTAAAGCTACCTTTGAGTGATATTTAGGCTTCTGGATAAATAGGAAAATTGTTATATAGGAAATATGATAAGGTTAATAGCAATGGGAAAGAGATACTTAGGATGAATCCCTGAGGAATAATTTTCCAGGGAATGACTGCTGGATACCGCATCACCCAAGTGCACATAAAAAGATGAATTGGAAACACGTTTCTGAGGAGTAGAGGAACTTGCCCCCTAAAATCCCAAGAGTGTAATGTATGTAGAATGCCATGCCTCTAAGAGGTGTTCTAGGCATTTTCTGTGTTAAAAAAACTACTAAAAGTTTCAAAGCAAAGATGAGATCTGTGTGGCAAGCACGACTCCAAGAACCAGATATGGTCTACCATGTGTTACCATGAGTTACCATATGTTAAAAAACCAACCCAGCTAGTTAATGAGATTAGGAAGTAATTTGATAGTAGTGATCTGTCCTTTCCTTCCTTAGACCCAATTACAAGCTACCTTTTGACAAATGATTTCAGAGAGTTAGTAATTGCACTCACAAGCAGAGTGGGTTCCCAGGTGGCAGAGCCACTGTGCGCACATGCACACTCACTAAAACTTCTTAAAGCGTTCATCAAATGGAAGCGTATAAATTGGGTCTTAAGCATTGGAATGATGGCTGCTTCCCACCATGTGATAGGAATGGTATGCTCATACCAGATTAGACTGTAGATTAAGGGATAGTTTACCTTGTTTTGACAGATGTTTCAGTATAAAGTTAAGAATCTGGACTAGTTTATGAGCAGCATGTTTTGAAAGCATTATGGTAGAGTAAAGCTCATCCATAGAGAAAGCGACATTGTAGTTTTCTTCTACATTGCCCAAACAGGGTTCTCCATTTCTCTTTTCGTGGAAAGGAATCTAGGTCTGATGATGTTTGCAATTGCCCATTTACTTTAAGGTACAGCAAATGAAGGGAGGGTTTGTTTAATTTTTTGTATTTTCATTCAGATGACATTCAGTGGGTGGAACATGTAAGAAAATACATATAACCTCTCCAGTAACCCAATTTGCTTTTGGATATGACTCGTCGCACTCTGGCATGCAACCATTTACATTTTGTGAGATTTTCAACAGTTGGGTCAGCGTTTTTACAGGACTTGGCTGCACTTGCATATTCTGGGTCCCACCATTGTACTGGTTACATCTCAATTCACTTCGTCAGTAGATCCATGAATGGTAACAATGACAGCAGTGATTATAGCATCAGTGAAATGAAAGGTCATTGTATTGATGTTTTTGAAAAGCCTATCAGTTAGACAGTAGGGCTGTAGAAACTGGTCAGAGTCACATTGGTCACAAGTTTGAATTTGCCACTTGCAGTTAATGCAGGGAGTTTCCTTGAGCAATGTTTCGACATACTTCGTCCATAACTACCGTGATCAACATGCAGTACTTCACTGAATGGCTAAACGTTTGGCATTTATAACAGCGCAGAGAGTTTGGCATACCCATAAGTTTGTAGAACCTGCAAGAGAACTGTTCTAGAAACAAAGGCCAGTCAAGGAAGGATCAGAGTAGAAGTGGGGATGTCTTTTTCACTTAATTCTGTATGCATTTATAACACCTTGTGCTCCGAAGAGAGGTCTTTGTTTTCTCCCACAACTTCCCTTTGTCAGATTTGGGCTAGGGTGAATAGATAACCACCCTGGAGGCTGGCCATCTCTAGTTTTCAACAGTTTTTCTATCTGGTTGTCAGAGGGAGATTCGAAAAGAATTGTACCATTTATCTGAAGCTTTTCATAGCAATCGTCAATGGCTTGGGCAAATCATATAGAGATGACCCTTTTAAAAGAGCGACCATGTTCAACATATTCAATTATCAGAAAATGCAGCTTAGATTATCAGACTCTCTACAGAAGAAACTGTGGAGATCAAAATTTCTTTCTCCTCAGTCTTCACAAGGTCTCTTCTTTTGGGTAGAGATTGAATTGGTCATTAAATCTTTAGAGAATTTCAGTTTATCCTCGCCAGAGCGCCCAAGGGTTGTGATTTTAATATTGCACCATTGTGATGCTAGGGTTACTAAGGAGATTTTGCAGAAATGCAAAGACTTCGTCCTTGCCATTCACAAGCAGGGAGATACAGTGACACCTTCCACTCACCCTAGAGTTCAGTCACAGATCTAGTCCAAGCTAATTGATCAGGAGTGGGTTGGCTACCAATTGACTTCCAGAAGAGGCCAAGATCAGAGGTAGCACACTGGGTCATACAGTACACATTCATAAACAAACACTAGTAAACACTAGGGTTTGCACAATGAACAGAATTAAGACATCTCAAACCCCAGGTCATCCCTTTTCTTCAACATGGATTGCCATGCATAGCAAACCAATAAGTAGGCAATCAGCATACAGAGGAGGCCAGTGAGGACGATTAAACAGTTATAACAGAATGATGGTGACTTACAATATGGAGAACAAGAGAATGAAGGATGGAGAAAGGAATACATGAAGCCTTCTCTGTATTCCTGTCAGGGTACAGGAACAACCCATCTCAATGGGCAATTTTTTTAAAAATCAAGCATGTCACGATTATCAACCAAAGAAAAAGAAAATTCACAATAAATAAATGTCATATCCATTTACAAGAAAGGGGGTGTATTTGCATTTGTATTCTTGCCATCCATGGATTTGCCAGGCGATTTAGATCAATATTTTTTTTAACTATCTTGTTAAGAAAGAATCTCAAGGAATGGCATTATAATAAGTGAAACGCAATGAAAAAAACAAAGAAAGAATAATACATGTGAACACGAAAATGATAGTGCCAAAAATGACGATGATTATTGTGTGGATCAAGAAAATAGGGATAGGTCAGACATAAGGATTTTACCTTCTCATCAAACAAACAATTTATTAGTCAAAAAACAATTTGTAATTTTAATTTAACTATGAAGAGTCAGAATTAATTAAAAATGAAAGAAAAAATTCAAGATGCATCTTTAAAACTAGTGTGTCATCTGGTATGTTATGAAAGTAATATGTTACTTAATATAAATTGAAAATTTTGTGAATTATAAATCATGTCTACAGCAACATATGTAGTTAATGTACTGCTGTAATGAAAAATAACCTGAAATATATTACAGTAAAATATGCAAACTTCTCTCACCCAGATTTGCCTCTACCAAACAAGAAAAACTTTTTTTCTCACCCATCCATTTCAGAAAGAAGTTGATTGATTGTTTGATTAGCATAAGGGTGAAGAACTGAATTAGTTCTTTTTGCTCCTACAGAATCTATTTCATCAATAAAGATTACACAGGGTGCTCTGTCTTTTGCAGCCTCTGAAAAAAATACGAAGAATGAATTAATTAAAAATGAATGCACGATAATTTTTTAAACATACTGATAAGATCCTGTTTTGCCAATGATATATCCAATCATGGTCAAAGTAAAACATTGTTAGGAAAACTTCAAGTACATTTGCATAATAAACATTATCTCTATTTTATACAAGGAAGCAAATTTTGATTTATAATTTAGAGTCAAACTTCACTGCAAAAATTGGATTTTCAGTTTAAATTATTACTCTTAGTTATATACTATGAAAAGAGTTACAAAAAGGTTCAAGTACTTATGTTGACACACTCTACACAGATCCATAATCAAGTTGAAGGATAGGGCTCCACTTTCTCAATGCCAGTAGCACAAGATGGCTTTGATTGATAAATTGTGGTTTTGGTGGAATTTAACTGCTATAATTAGTGGTGCCCAAGAATGGGAACGTACAATTATGAATTCACCATTCACAGCTTATTTTATTGGACTCCAACATGTTCTGGGAAGTAATCAGGAAACCATAGAAACCACTGCAGTTGGTCTACAAATTCAATTCAGGAGGTCCACAAACTCACTGATGTTAAACACACAAAGTAAAATTTCCAACATTCCATTGAGATTAAACCACCTCCCACTCATTGGCATCACCGATTGTAAGGCCTTGCTTTTACACTTGTAACTATTACTATTGCTAGTATTAATGTAACGTTCTAAACAGGGATGGCGTGTCAAACAACCCCATACCCCAGCCACCATTAGCCTCCAAATATTTACTACTAGTCAAGCCAGTTAAGTAAAAGGATACACGAATATATAACCAAAAAGAGAATATAAACTTGCAGGACTTGCAGTTCTACATATAACCACCATGATTAAAATCTTTGTAATATTTAAGAAAATGGCATTCATCTTGAAAATCTTAGTATTAATATTATCCTTTGGGTTGGCTTACACGCACATAAGAATACAAGCAAATGTATGGGCGCTGTCCCAATTCTATTCTTAAATTAAAAACCACTTGCCTTATTATCTACAGAAAACAGATTTAAAATAAAATAAAGTTGTAAAATGCCTTTGGTTGCAGTTTTTTAAAATTAACATTTTTCTTTTCTGCCTTAATTTTCTTTTTAAAACATTTGTTTGCAGATAATAAATAAATTTAGAAATTTACTAAAATTGCCAGGATCCAGTTTTGTAGAAATTCACTCACTAAAAAGATCTCGTACACGACGGGCACCTTGTCCCACAAGGATCTCATCAAATTCAGGACCGGCAGCATGGAAGAAGGGGACTCCAGCTTCCCCTGCCACTGCACGGGCTAGTAGTGTTTTGCCTGTCCCTGGTGGACCCACTAATAACACACCTTTTGGGAGCTTGCCTCCCAATGTAGAAAACTTTTCGGGGTTTTTTAAGAATTCAACAACATCTTTTAATTCCTGCTTTGCTTCATCAGCCTAAAAGAATAAAAATATAAACCAAACATTACTACCAAATGTGAAAATGAATGAAATTTTAAATATTTATTTTTTGAGCATAAGTTTCTCAACAAAAGAATATTACTTCAAATTCAAATGCAACTGTAAGAAATTACTTGTATAAATTTTAAACCACTATGAGGCTCATCCAGAAAGTAAGCTTCTCAAGGTCACAAGTTTCCTGAAGTTTTCTAGAAAAAGAAACCACAATTTCATGGAAAAACTTCATTATACGGCAATTGTTGCACAATTTGTCGATAATCGCCAACAGAATTGAGACATTGTCATACCATGGGATCAGTATTTGTATCACTCTGTCCGATGTTTACCTCCTGGGATAGGTACAAGTGTTAGAAAGTCATCTGCAACTCTGCATCACTGTAATAAACATAATGCATTCTGAAGAGTAATTTTTTGAGGTGTAAGAAGATGGAAATTGCTGGGGAACAAGACCCGGACTGTAAAGTGAACCTGTTGCGAGCCAAGCAATGTGAGGCCAAGTGTTATCATGCACAAAGCCAACACCTGCATTGAGCATCCAGTGCCACTTATTCTGAATGGCCCTTCATAAATTCTAGTGTTGCACATTTACATTCAGTATTCACCATCTCTCCTCTGACCAGGATCTCAATGAGCAGAATGCCCCTTCTGACCCACAAGAATGTGCACACAACACTTTGCACATTCTGTAACAATGTGTGCTTCAATTTGGTCTTAGTTGGAGATTCAGTGTGACATCAATGTATTAACAACTGTTTACTTTTTGGGGTAAAGTATGCATGTCTTATCGCCTATGGAAACCTGATCCAGAGACTCATCGCCATCATTGTGGTACTGCTCCAGAAATATCACTACTGATCTTATGCGCTTTGTTTTGTGTTCAGGTGCCAGTTGCTCCAGCACCCATCTCACACACACTTTCTTAAACAACAGATGTTTTGCGAAAATTTAGTGCAATACGGAATAGGAAATCTACAGGAAATGTCTGAGTTCCATAATCTCCATTTCAGTATGAAGCACCGGATCACCACAATGCATTCGATGACGTGCTCTACCAGATCATCTGTGATTGATGGCCGCCCACCGCACTCCACATCACACCCATTTGGCTGAACTTCTGGGAAATCCCTGTACCATACTGCACACATTGCTTGCACACAATGCTTGGATCATACCCTTTACAGAGTTGAATATGGATTTTGATCTGAGTCATGTTCTGTTCATTGGAAAACTATCATAGACTCAAGCAGCTGGGGATGAAATTATTGCTACTGTGAGGAATCGGGCAGTACTACTGGCACTTACATTGCCATGTTATTACTCTCAAGCATATACATTAGTTTTTTCAAATATATGGCCTCCTATCTGTTAGACCTAAGGGAAACTTACTTCTTGGATGCGCTACTTATAAATCTAATGTTAACACTAGAATGATTAGGATTCAGTACCTACCTATTTCACTAACAATTGCCATTTCAACACCTATTTTTAACGGTTTGCTGTGACTATAAATTAAGATTTTGTGGTTTTACTACTTTCTGTTATATTTTTAACATTCTCAATCATTTCTACTTTTACAAATAGTCATGTTTCCAATAAATATTTTATTACTTTAAAATATGCAAAGCATAAGAACATGCTTGATATTATACAGGTAAGTTCTTTTAGGAATAACAGATCCTACCTAAACAATCAGTGTACTAATAGCCTACACTTTGCCAGAACCGACATATTGTGGATTTCTTCAGGTGCCTTCCAAAATGTCATCCAGAATATCTCATAAGAGCTGAAGTATTTCAACACAACAAAGACTGTGATAATATAAGTTTTACTAACTTGCCTAAGTAATAAATACAATTTATCACAGCTTGGACAAGCTAATTCTTCTTCAAAAGGAGAGAGAACTGAATTGACTTAGAAACAATCACATGACAAAACCTGTTGCATTATTCTCAAAACCAGATATCAATGGTGGGTGGTGAATGAAATTATAAAAACTGTAGAAGCTCACAGGAAATCTCGCAATAACATGTAGAGACAATCAGAGGTGCACCCAAGAGTACTGTACAATCTGAGGTATAAACCTGTTGGTGCCAAAATGTCACTCCTGGGTGGAGTAGTTAAATTTTAAATAGAAATGAAAGTTTTATGCTTTAAAAAATTGCTTGGGCCAAATCTAACTCATCTGAAAATCATAAAGACTTATAAATGATGTTGATTCTCAATTAAAATAATATGAAGTTATGTTATAAATATAAATGCTGTGTTGAAATGACACCCATGGGCACTCCAGTGTAAATGATTAATGATAAAAAAAAGGATTTTGGCCTCACTTTCTAACTTCATCTCATTACTGTAATACCATTATAAATGATATATAACTGAACTAATATTAATTATTAATTACACTGATTAATACTTACACCTTTCACATCATCAAATGTAACATGAATTTCTTCAGGATCTACTTCTACTTGATTACCAAGTTGAATACGAAACATGGATCCACTTGCACTGGCTGTAAAAAGAATAAAAATTATTAAATAAAGAATGGATAAAAAATAATAAATATTGAACAAGTAGAAATTTTGAACCTACTGTACTGAACCCACACAAATGTTTAGAAGGAAAAACTAGTTTCATTACTGAACCAATGATTTCTTAGTATCAAATTCAGTGAATACTATATCCAATGGAGTTTTGAAACAATCTAACAATGAATTAGAGTGCCTCTAAAATGTTTCCCTTCATATATTCAGCTAGTGAGTACAGACTACAGAAAATAATATTGGCATTCTCCAACAAGAGAAATTAAAAACTACATGCACAACACTGCAATAAGTAAATTCAATTTATATCAATCCAAGAGTTCATCCAAGACATCAACAGAGCTAACCAACTAAAACTCCCTCTTACCCATGAAGGAAACAAAGATGGCAAGGAAAATAACAATAGTAAGCAGTTGTTGCACAATTTTGAGCCATTTCATTGTGCGACCTGGCACCCTCTGACCGCTTCCTGCCAGATAACCTTCAGCAAAGGCCACTTTCATTCTCTGTTGCTCCTCTGGGTTCAAGGATTCGTCAGCCACGATTCCTTTCAGTCGTTCCACATCACCTCCAGGAAGGGAAGAAGATATATGGCCAACAGCAACAGCTACAAAACATGTCAAATTAAGCATCATTTTCTGTTTCATTTAATAAAATTAACCTCAAGAAAACATGATTAATAATAAAATACAATGAACTAATATGCACAATAAGAAAATCTGACAAAATCTTCCTTCAGAACTTTGGTATATCCAAAGACAAAGAAAGAATTTTCACGTATTATAACTTTTCTCTCAACCACTAGTGGTGCTTTAACTGCCTATTTTTTCACATTATTTATAACAGTATCACAGTATAATAATATAGGAAAATTAAGAACAAAACAAAAAAGTAATTTTTTAAAATTCAAGTTTTGATGAAAATGCACTTGTGCAATACATTGCTTATAATACAATACTTGTACATTGAGCTCTGTCATTACTAAATGATTGAAAAAAAGATGTTTTGTAAGAATATTGTTAACACATTTGTATAAAATTGCCCTAATTTCACTCAAAATTATGTGAAAATCATTAATAATTTTTAAAAAATACACATGAAAATATTTAAAAATTAGTTCTGTAGAATAGAACTGATTAAAAATTGGATCTCTAACATCAATGTGAAATATAGGTTCGTAGAAAGGTTGGAATTTGGCAATTTTCAAACTTTCAGAATTTTTAATGAATATCAGATTTGTGTCATAATAATAAGAACACTTCATTCTAATTGAGTAAGAAATTTTAAGAAAGAATTTGGCAGTAACTTTTGAAAAAATTCTGAAAATATCTTAGAGGCTTTTTATAAAATAAGTACCTTGAAAACTAAAAGTTTAATTTCAAATTTGCAGGATCTTGGGTTCTGACAACAGCAAGGAATATCTCTTTTGGCGAAAATTTTGGGTATGTTGTGTTGTGTAATTTGTTAAATGTTAGTGTTGTTCAGAGAGCTGGGCAGACAAACTTTTGCAAACTTACACTGTTTTAGTATCAGAGTCCCACAAAACCTACATTTCCACCAAAATCTCGACACACATTTTTAAGTTACGTAATTTTCTCTTTATTATCTATCCAGAAAAGTCTGGAATACACTAACCATCTCTAGAATCTTTGTATCAAATGCAATGAAGGGTCTAAGATCCCCTCAAAAACAAAGCATTGTCTTATTAGCATACTTCTATTATCACTTTCCAATATTAATTTTGTTATCATCTAAATTCAATTCACTGAATTTTAAAATGAAATAACTCTCTTATCAATAACTTATTTGTTGTTGTGGGATGCTACAGTCAAAATAGTTAATAATCCCTATAACTAATTTCCAATGCATGCAGAAATTGAAAGACAGCTATGTAGTCTCCCAGCACATGAGAGGTGTTTTAAGTTTTCAATAGATACCCAGAAACGCAGGGAAAAATATAAAAACAATCAGTTTTGTGTTTGACAGAAAAATGCAAATATTTCATTGTGCTTTTCTGCCTATTCCCATACTGTACACCCAATTGAATTCTCATACTTAATGCATCACTGCTACAGCCTCGAAAAAAAACTAGTGGTTCATTACTGACCTCCATACCAGCATCGTGTGACAGATCCTAGATGAAGTGCTTTGGGTTTTCAAAGAATGGAAAATTTTACTGAGGCCATGTCACGCTTCAAGTACGTTAAAGAACTGCGTAGGTGCTCAGGAAAATTAAATTTCTCCAGCAATGTTCCATTCTAATGAAATATGTTTTCCCAACCAATTAGAACATAGTTGACCAAGACCAACATCTCGCAGAGAAAACAAGAACCACATACAAGTGCATCAGGGGACGCCCAAAGGGAGCACCTGCTCGAAAAATATTCCACGGGTATGATTCAAAGGAAGCCTAGTTTTGAAAATACAGGTGCAGAACTACAGCCAATAGCCCTTTTCCCACAATATCACCATATGATAAATAAATGACCACTTCCAACACTGCTGTCTTACGACAGCAAGTCTCCAAAGAATACTAACTTGTAATTAAACATTTGCTATTTAACTGTTGCGTAATGAAATTGCAATTTTTTAAAACATTCTTTGTATGTAAATAGCTGCTGTGCTGCATATATACTTAACTATACCATTACAGTATTCGAGAAAACTTTTTTTGTCAAAATATTAAATTTATTGTTATGTTATAAATCGATATTTTATTTGTAGTTTTTGAGCAGTGTGCAAGCTTCATTTTGGAAAACATTTATGTGTGGTTTTATCCAGAATTTTTGCAGCTGAAGGCCACTATTTGACAGATCGAATGCATGTTTATCATTATGCAAATTTTTATCTCAATAACAGTTGGATAAAAATCAAAAGATGTGAATAATGGTAACTCATTATTGCTGCAATGATGTCCATGTTGTCACACACATGTTACTTAAAAGTACTTTGGAATTTATTTCATATTGCACAACTTTGCCAATCTTATGTATTATATAATACCAAGTACTTTGTTTGTAATAAACTGAAATTAATAAACAACTTTAAAAAGAATTGGTCAATAATGTATACTTGTAGTAATTTAAAAGCATTGGTTAAGAATGAAATTTTGAACACTAATGACAACATTTTGGTCTTATTTTTCTTATAAAATATTTGTATTTAATGTAAGCTCCATAAATTATCAATATTTTCATGAAGCCATGCCAACATACCATTCAAATCAGTTGAAAGCATCATATGTTCAGTGTAAATAACATTTTTGCTTCAGTATCATAATATTTTACATTGCCAATTCCCAAAGTGTTCACTGATACTCCAGAAGCATCCTAAACAAACAAGTCATTAATTTTATAATTCTCACCTTCTGCTGAAGCTGGAGCAGGAGGGGTAGAGTTAACCAATGGACTCTGGAAGCCTAAAAGTTTTCGCAACCTCACTACCAGACTAGGATTGCGAGCTTGTTCTGCAAGTACGTTCCGTTCTGTTTTGAAGCCCCTCACCTGTATGCCTATCACAGAACAGTAAAATCACACACTAACACAAAAAAATTACAAAATGATTCTTATCAGTATATGCAAACAATTAACATATCTAAAACTTCCAATATGTACTACTGCAACATTTCACTTTCTGAACATGAAGGAATGTGAGCATTCATGATGAACTTTAAAAATAAAATACAAATAAAATTTGATGCACACAACCAAAAACATACACACACACACACACAACAACAACCAGATAGTGGCCATGCTTAGCAGCAAAATTCAAAGTCCCCTTGTTTACCCCCTCCCCCCTCCAAGAAAAAAAGTACATTCTATTTATTACAATAAGAAATCTTTTTGTGATAAATACATCTCATCAACTTTATCAAACAAGCAAATCAAAAAAACTTTCAGACCTATTATTTAGCAAAGTTTCTGTGTATGTTATATACAGTTCAACACAACACAAAGTAGATATTTAAACTACAAAACTTTACTTTTAGCACAAATATTATTACCTGTGGAATAAAAAGCAAAAGTCTTCAACTTGCATAAACAATTTAAGCTTTTTATTGTGGCAATGAGAAATTTATGAAGGAAGTATTAGAGAAACTATAAAGCATGTATAATGTATTGTGTGTATTGTTAGTGTGGCATAGCATTTTTTCTCAGCAGGAAATGAAAAAGACATTGTGAACTGAACCTGTCCACAAAACACTCTTCAGGTTCTAGCAGAACTTTATTTTAGAATTCTGAAATTAATTCCATATACAGTCACAATAACATACAACAACAATTGTTTGTAGCTAAAATATTGATTGTATTTTTAATTGTTAAAAATGAAAATCATAATCATGCTGCATCTGCACGTTGATCTGAAAAACTGATTGTGCAAGCCCTGAATAAAAGATACAGATCATGTTTTAAGAAACATTCCAAGTACAATGAATAATCCTATACAATGTTAAATATTCTAAAAGTGCCTTCAATTTTCCAGGATTCATATGAACAAATCACTGAGAAAATAACAATATGTAGATACTCAGATTTAATAAAATGTAAAATAAATTAAGAAATTAAACAGTTTTTATGAAAGCAATGAGAAGCTAACAACAAATTCAAGGAAAAATGAGAAGGAATGCAATAAAATCCAAACGTGTAGAGGTTGCCAAAATGAAGCTTGTCTAGTAAAAAGTAATTCAAAATGAGGAGAGGTACACTCTTAAACATGTTAAAAGTAAGATTCATACACTTCAAGTTCTCAAATAATAAATATACCAATATCAAAAGTAACCTTTTCAACATGTACAATTACTTTCAACTAATGCAATTTTCTTACCAAGAACAAAAGGAGTATCGAGAAGTAGTGAATGCACAATCCTTCTGGATAAATTTGCAGAAAAAGAAATAGGCCCATCCTTTAAGTATGGTAAATTTCTCCTTTGGAGGCCTTGTTTATTTTCCAAAAAGGAGTCACCAGAAACATACGATTCTCTCCATTTCCAGGAGACCTTATACCTAGAAATTGGTTGACTAAGAACAAGGTACATTGACAATTTCTCAGGTACAGTTAACTTGAGTTTGTTTAACTCATCACAGAATGCAGAGTCTGAAAAGTTTCTGAGAGCCTGAAATTTAACAAAAATTGGCAAGTTTACTGTCAGTTCTGAAGTTCTACTTACACCACATCACACATTAGTTTAAACTCACTTCATTGAAACTATCAATACATATGTTTACATCATCTTTCTTCTGCTTCCTAGGGTTAAGACTTCTTGACTTAGGTCCAACAGATAATGGTGATAAATTAGGTCCCCTTGAACTGAGGGCTGAAGTAAATTGGGAGAGGTGAAATAACACCTAGTATACAAAACCAAAAGATTCTCTTAATAGAAATCTGTATCTAAGTCACTAACATACTGAGGAACATTTAAGAAAATATACTAGTTTATTTTACCTGATTATGAGTTTGCAAGCTAAACATTGATTCAAACTGTATTATGACTTGTGTAAGAATCAATATTCCCCACAAATTAATTTATTAAATTTCTTGCTGCGCACATGTGTTTCAACACCATTCCGATTTTGCTGTCTTTTCGTCACTCTGCCTTACTCTGTCAACTCCGTCAAGACTATGCCCTTCATTTGTTCTGTAATCAGCAGTAACCAATAATACCAACATTTCAACATGTATATTTTGGATGGATGAGTCGCGACAAATTGGATATTTACTTTCCTTTTCATTTATTCAATAAAAAAAGGCGGAAAGGAAAGTAAATGCTTTGAAAAATGCAGTGCTGAAGCAAGATGCTTATTCCATCATCTTTTTTTTCAGTTTCTTTATGAAGTTATTGTTTCGTCATGTATTTTTTGGCATGTTCGAGATTGTCCGTGTGGAGTAAAGCACATGGAAATTAATGCGTTGATCGGATATTTTTTGTAGTATTCAAATTCATTTCATTTCAAGAAAATTCGCTCGACGTTGTACGCCTTAAGGCGCATTCTCACGAGGCAAATTTAATTGAACAATTTTAGTTCAAATTGAATGAAAACAGTAATGATAACATTTGCTTCAATAAAGTTGATGATTTTTTTTAAATTTTATCCACCTAAGTGCGAACCTGTCAAACTTTGTCATATACGTCTGGTTCTTCCGTTCAATTAAAATCGCATCGTGAAAACGCACTTATAATCATCATTCATTGGACCTGTTGTCACTTGCCCTCTCCTACCTGAGTCACATGTCACTGGACCGCTGTCATCGCATTTGGGCATTTCGTCATGTCGCAAGGTTCGTTGCCATCGCCTCGCATCACACCAAAGTGATCTTCAGGTGTACCCATGTCCTAAATCCGAAGGAAAATGCATGTGATTTGCCACTTTTCAAAAATAACATTTGTTGCATAATCGTTATTAAAAAAACTATGGTTTGCACGGAATATTATCGGAATAGAGCGATGGCTGAGTTGTCAAAGAATTTTAAACAATAAATTATGAAAATGATAACTAATGGTATGTGTCGGACATTTTATAAAATTAAACGGCCCGAGCATTGTCTTTGGTATCCTTTACTTACCAAATACTTTCGCATTTTCATTGAATTTTTCTTAATCTAGAATTTAGCATAGGTATATTTTAAATATTTAATACAAAGTTACATTGCTGTCCGTCTGTATTTTTATACTACAAATGCAAGTAGGCCTACATCCATTTCTCCGTATAACGCCAGCATTCATTTCGTAATAATGTGACATAAATTCAAGATATGACTCTCTGGGGTTTCCCCTCATTAACTTAATATTAAGACCAGGGATTCAGTGGATTAGTTCTGACGTTTATAAACATAGTTGTTTGACTTTGGGAGCCACGTAATGAGGCCGCACTGCCACTGGTGTCCTAGCAACCACCAATAGTAGCGCTGCCTGAGATGACGTAACGTACCCTCTCCGCCTCCACTTGACAGCCAATAAAAGAAGGGCGATGATTTCCCACCCACAGGTAACTAACCATGGCCGGTGAAACATGATTTTCTTAGAGTTGAAGAAAAAAGATATGCGAAGAGTCAAGAGAAATCAATTCATATACCTGTACCGATTAACACGTGTACTCTTAGGAACTTTCAGAACGGAAGCGATTGGGACGGGGCATAACACAGTAGTATGTGAATTGAAGTGGCACGAAAGTGAATTAAATTATTTTCTTACGTATAAAAGTTTACATATGTAAATCAATTAAAAATATATTTTTAGTTATGGACTCCGTATTAAAAAATGTTCAACTAAGGTGTGCTCCATATTCACCATATGATTTCCGAATGTTCTCTCGATACCAGTGCTGCAACTAGGATTTTTCTAGGGGGAGGGGGGAACCGCCGATGTGTCCAACACACTCCATGTTTTCTTATAAATAGTTTTTCATTATTCTGAATTTAAAAATTATTTTCATTTGTTGATAGTTATTTATAACTAGAGCGTGGATTTTTAGGAATTTCATGAAAGTCATTTTAGGCTTTTCGAATTTCGTCATTTTAGCCCAGTTCCTATTTTTAGATTTTTTCTAATCGTATTAGTATATATATATATATATATATACACACACATATATACATATACTAATACGCACAGAAAATGCTTTTAACAAAATTAAAATATTAAATTTAATATTTAATGAATATTTTATGGATTTAAATTAAAATTAGTAATAACTTGTTATTAAAATCATTGAATTCAGAGCTGCTGTCGATTTACAAATTAAACATTCGCTTACACACAAACATTACTATTCAGGACTGAAGGAAGTCGACAAGATTCGACAAAATATGTCTCAAGCCTCTTCTACTTTTTCTTTTCATTAGAATTTTCCCTCTTTTTTTCTTATTCTTTTAGATATTTTCTTTATCTTCTTAAGTGCTTATGAACCGCGCCGTTTCCACGCGTGTGTAAGCGATCCATGCCCTATTCCTTTATTTCGGACACACTATTATTGCGCGAAATGTCACAGCGGCCCACGATCACTTTTGACACCAAGATACAGACCATACTCCGCCAACACCCTGTCAGGTTGCGTCGGCCAGTAAAGTATATGGATTGGATAAAAAGTGATGGTAATTGTGGTGCCAGGCAAAGCGTTGCGTTCGTCGAATGGCCACGAGGTATCCGTTCTTAAGAAATGTTGGTCAACGAGGAAATGAGGTTGGTGGATACAATTGTTTGTCGTTCAGTGAATTACTAATGAGCAGTGAAGAAGAGATGCAAAGAGCAAGCGCAATAACAATATGTACACGAAAGAAGGAAAATGGGCGTCGGTCAAAACTGAAATGTCACGTGGAATTGAACGGGCTCAGAAAAAGTCGACGGCATCTTTTGTCAGAGATTACGATCATTCTACATGACAATGCACTGGTTCACACTACTATAACGCTGTAACATATCTCCCATTAACAGTCGAATTAACCCCTTATTCTGGGTCATGACAATCGCTATACCAAAATGAAGGAATTACCCCGCGGGAAAGAGTTGGACAAAAGAGAGCTCATTACCCATGCCATAACGCGATCAGAGATGGCGATCGCCAGAAATAAGACTACATACGAAGTATTTACTAATTGTTACGTTTAAATAAAATTTGTCAATCGCTTTTTCCAATCATGTTAATGTATGTCTAGTTTTGAAAAGTTCAGAAAATATTAGAAAAAATTCTGCAAGTATTTGCCAGCATCAAATACTTTTAATTAATATAAGGTTGTAAACATCATAAGAAGTCACATTATGAATACATTGAAGTGAACAAGGAAATCTTACGATATCACTAAAAGTGAGGATTTTTTACCTCCATGTTTAACTATCTTCTTTTGATTCAAAACTACATATGCATGAGTTGCATACTCACAGATTTGCAGGCTCCTTTTCATTTGTATTTCCCTTAATGTGCTATAACCTACAATAAAAGAAAGTGAATACGAGGAATAATGCAATTGAAAATGAATATTGGTTTTCACATATTTTTATTTGGACTATATTATTCTTAAATAAGGAACATAAATAATATTTTACTAACATTTGCACTAACACTTACTACAAACAGTTAAGTAATGATTTCAAAGTAAGAACATTGTACTTTTCTTGCAGAATATCAATTTATATCACAATCTACATGACTGGGAAAATATTTGTCACATTAATGACCAGATCACCAAACACAAACGTAATATCTTTTGCATTCTGCATATTGTCCAGATGGATGTGATAAAAAACAAGTTCACAAAATAGCACGATGTCTGTGGTTTTCGAAGTTCACTCTGAAAAAAAAGGCATGAGTTAAGATACACAGATGTATGCACAAACGCACAAATAATATTCATGCCCGAACAATAATATCAAAAATAAAATCAGTTTACTGCTTCAAAACTGATTTGTACTGCTACACTCAGGAAAACGAAAATAGTACGTACACTTTATCATAATAATCTTTATTGTTCTAATTATTATTATTATTATTATTATTATTATTATTATTATTATTATTATTATTACACAATTTTTAAATACAAAGAAACCATAAAATACGTTTATTTCCACGTCACATAAATCAAACAGTTGTAATATATTTGACTGTACCTCCGTTAAAGGTACGTTCGTCATACATGTCTGATACACACTACTACTGTTTTGACATAAATAAATAAAAGAAGCATGGGACGACTTGTTCTAAACTTCTCGGGTAGAAGAAATGGGAGAATGAAGGGAGGAAGACGGATGTGGTGGAAAGAGAAATAACAGGAAGGAAGGGCAACAAGGAAAAACCAAGGAAGAGAGAGAGAGAAAGAGAACGAGAGAAGAATGAGGCGCGAGATGGGAAAGTGAATGGAAGGCGGGACGGAAAGGTACAAACAAGAATAAAAGAAAGGGATATTAAGAAAGGATGAAATGAGAGAAGGGTAATGGTAACGAAAAGCAGGATAGAGGAAGGGTGGGAAGAAGGAAAAGGAATGAAATGAAGGAAGTGGAATCTAGGATGAAGGGAAAGCGAAAGATGGAAATGAGGAAGATGGAAAAGGTCAGAAAAAGCGAGAAAAGGTAGGCTGGACAATAGAAGAGGAGGTTGGAAAGTGTAGAATGGAAGAAGGAAGATGATAGTAGGAAGAGGTTGAAGGGGTAGAGTAAAAGCGAGCGAAAAAAAGTAGAAAGTAAAACTGCAAGTTGGAGAAGGTAGGAAGGAGTAGAATGAAAGATGGGGAAAATGATAGGGAAGGATTAAAGGGGTAAATTAAAAGTGGCTGAAAGAAATATAAAAAATAGTAGACTAGAAGGAAGAGACTTTAATTCAATGATGTCTTATTTTACGTGGCGAGTCTCAGGCCATCAGGCTGGCTCTTCCGACTGACCACGCAAATTTCGCTACGTACCTTTCACCATCTAGCAGAGAAAAAAGGCACCACTTGAGTGACGAAACAGGCGATTTAAATTTAGCTCAGAGGCTTCTTTGACACTTGAAGATCTTTCACATGCAGTAAATTTACAACATGGGACACCCGATTTTACTTCCCCTCCGAAGGTCGGCGAACGAAGGGGTTTTCCGCCCCTCAAAAATTCACAGATCGATCGGTTTGAACCCTCAAACTTTG